TTACTACTACTACTATTACTACTACTACTACTATTACTTATCCCGACAATGCCATTACTACTATTACTATTACTACTATTACTACTACTACTACTACTATTACTACTACTACTATTACTACTACTATTACTACTATTACTACTACTACTACTACTACTATTACTACTATTACTATTACTACTATTACTACTACTACTATTACTACTACTATTACTACTATTACTACTACTACTACTACTATTACTATTACTACTACTACTATTACTACTACTACTACTACTACTACTATTACTACTATTACTACTACTACTACTATTACTACTATTACTACTATTACTACTACTACTACTATTACTACCATTACTACTACTACTATTACTACTACTACTACTATTACTTATCCCGACAAGGCTATTACTACTATTACTATTACTATTACTATTACTACTACTACTAGTAGTAGTAGTAGTAATAATAGTAGTAGTAATAGTAGTAATAGTAGTAGTAGTAGTAACAGTAGTAGTAGTAATAGTAGTAATAGTAGTAGTAGTAATAGTAGTAGTAATAGTAGTAATAGTAGTAGTAGTAATAGTAGTAGTAGTAATAGTAGTAATAGTAGTAGTAGTAATAGTAGTAGTAGTAATAGTAGTAATAGTAGTAGTAGTAATAGTAGTAGTAGTAATAGTAGTAGTAGTAATAGTAGTAGTAGTAGTAATAGTAGTAATAGTAGTAGTAGTAATAGTAGTAATAATAGTAGTAGTAATAGTAGTAATAGTAGTAGTAGTAGTAACGGCAGTAATAGTAATAGTAGTAGAAGCCTTGTCGGGATAGTCTTCACTGAAACTTGTCGGTGTAACGAGATTCTTTGTCGTTGTAACAATGACCTTTGTCGTTGTAACATGTTCTTTGTCGTGGTTACAACCCTCTCTAATCCGGGCAGTCTGCACAGCAGGGCCCCTGGCTTTTTCAATTTCCGGACCCACCCAAATGGTGTTTTTGCTTTCTTTTCAACCCCATCCAGCTGGGCTGTAAGCTCAGGGTTTCAATTCGAGTCCTCCGGATAAATGATGCCCAGAATCAGTGTCGAACCATCCAGCACCTCGGGCAATAGGCAATGCTGGGAGACTCGAGATGTGCCTTTCTCCGGTGCCCCGCTTTGGAATGTGAGGCAGGCCAAGAGGAAGCCAAGCCGTGTTGGGGATTCCCAAATTATTGAGATAAACTCGGCTGGATGTGTGTGTGTGTGCGTAGGTCTGTGAATATTATATATATATATAGTCATTGGACTCTTACTTATCACTCAAAAGCTGACTCTTTTGCGCCTTTACCACAATAATGAAGGTGTCTGCTGAAAAAGCTTTCAAGCTCGCTGACAGAATTTGGCACTCATGAATTACTGTAAAACACACACTCGAATAACATATGTAAACCAAAAGCAAGGGGGCGTTCATCATGGGGTAGGCTCGCTTTACTCCAGAATGAACTTGCCACAAATAGTGCAGTCACAAACAGCTTGTCTGCTCGATATCTCCGTTGCAGTGACCTTGTCACAGGGGAGCAGATCAACAAGAACCAGCAATGCGTCATGTCGTGCGGCCTGTGGTATTTACGTCGATTGGCCCATGATTGGAGCCCTACAGATTGCAAGTCAGGACCAGTAAGACGGTTAGAGAATCCTCGATAGCATGATATCCTGGCAGGAGTTACACGCAATTCACATACTGACGGAAATGGAGTACCCTGCACAAAGGCACTCTGCGGATTGAGACGCAACCCGAAACTAGTTTTCCCTTTTTGTTGACACGATGCCTTTTTGGTCAATAGATTGTTGGGTTGAAAGGATGGTCCGTAGCTAGAATGACCCCCGTGGTATGAATCTGAAAGGGAGCCCAGGGGTCCCCTGGCAACGGAATGCGACTTGGATTCCGGGCCTCTTGCGATCGCGCTCGCTGTAAGAATTCATCATCACTAAGCACACAGGCCTCCGTGACAGCCTGGCACCGGCTCGACTGTTTTTTTCTTTTCTTTTTTTCATAAGCAAAAACTTGCCAGTCACTATGTCCCTTGTAAAGCAACTGGCAAAATTATGAATTCTGTGTCAAGCATTCCTTGGCTGATTCCGAACCACTAGCAGTGGATGATGCTTTGTGAGCGGTGCACAACCAAGCAGTGGCACTTTGCGGTTGGGGTGGGGACATGTTGACCCACCTGCTTCAAAAAGGGGGCGGAGTCTCAAAATAGTAAACCCTTTTTGGTGTTAGTAGAAAAACCACCGAGAAGCTACTTTTGTTGGTCCCTATGTGAAGCAACATCAAAAAGTTCCGTGTAAGAGCTGTTGTAATACCATCAGAATTCACCCACTGACTTTTACCGGACAATTACCCCGTTTGTGGATAATGCCAAATAAGCCAAGTCCCGTTCATTTTGGACTGTGTGAAATCATGTTCCAAAGGTGTAAATCACCGGTTCTCGACCTAGCATGAAATTATGCTGCTCACGCACGGCGCCTCGCGGGCCTCTTTCGTTTTGTTTTTTGGGGAGGGGTGTTTTCTTGTTGGGGTTGTGCTAGCGGGCTTTACGAGAGCAGAACCATCCTTTCAATGATTCAAGGGTTAAACTCTTCACCAAGAGTCGGGTCTTATGCTCACCCTCCCAATGGAAGCTGACAGGCCCCTTTTGGACGATAGCCTTTGCGGAAGGGCACTCACTTCGGAAAGAGCCATTGCCATTGCCTGTCAGAAGGTTCGTGAGCAGAGAGATGACTGCATCGGATATGCGCCACCTTGGGACCTCCTACAATGCAGCCCAAACACCAGCCATGGGGCAACAGCCTGGAAAGCAAACGTCTAACTCTTGAGATTGGAGCACCAATTAGCGTGCGCAAAATAGAATCATGACCAAAGACCGAACTTTTTGTTGTCCGCCAACATGGTCTTCCCACGAAGCTTCAACGTTGACGTCGGGGAGTGAGAACTGTAAAGCCTTTCAAACATGTACACTGTACACGCTCAGTCTGCATCTATCCAAAGAGCTATGCTCACTCGAGAGGCACCTCGGCAGCCCAATGCCCAAGGCATGGTGCGATCAAAGGCTGCTGCAAACCTTTTTTCCCTTCAGAGACGGAACCAAACCGACGACCTGCAAGTGAAATGCAAAGCTTCTTTTTTTTGCTTGCATCCAATGCGTGAACATATGTCTGAAATGTATGGTCCCCGCTTGGCGAGACTGCAGGCTGTGAGGCACACCCTTTTTCGGAGCCAACCGTCCAAGCGCCGAATCGCTTGTCACTTCTTGGCTCTCAGATCTCAGCGAATTAATCGAATTCAGCACATGTGCTGGTCAATGGGAATGAGTACCTAAGGCTCGGAGACCGCTCCAATTTTGAAGTCGTGTTGTCCTGCCCACCATGTTGAATGTGAATTGAAAGAATGGACTGCTGTCAAGCGGCACACATCGCAAGCGCCAAGGACACCTAGGAGGTATGAGGTCTCTAAATTCTGCAACTAAGCGCATGCACGCTCATGTCGCAAGCTGCTTGAATCGCAGTCCAGCACGGCTGGTAATAACTGAGGGTAAGGCGAGGAAGTATCCACTACCTGAGCAAGTATTCTGCAAAATATGCAATGTTTCCAAAACCTGAAATACTTGAGTAAATGACCTACATCATAGGAAGCTCGTTTTGGTTCAGGTGAGCTCGCCATGAAAAAGAGTAGAAGGATTCTTGGCACGAACATATTTGTCTAATTGCTCCAGCCTCTTGTGCCATTGTTCTGACTCATGAGAACAATGGCACGAAAGGCTGCAATTAGACTGAGCCCTCCAAATGAATCGGCTTGACAGCATTAAGTGCACAGTCCTAACTCAATCCAACCTCACCAAGCCATCGAAGTCCAAGCCAGAGCCATGGTTCAGTGCCTGTGATCTAGTCGTTGGTACGGAAACCTTCCAAGGAACGCATTTAGGGACCCAACGCATGGGACCCAGTTTCTTCCACACACCTACGGGTGTGTGTCCTCGAGGGTTCCCATTTGAAGGTTGGTTTGAAGCAAAACCAGAAGGACAACCACCATCTTTATCATCTTTGGGATCTCCTATTTTGACACATATCCATAACTATTCCAAATCCCTTTCTTTCTGCCCAAAGCAAACATCACCAAAACGAAGATGAACTCCACCAATATTGGCAACCAAAAGGTGATGCTCAGCCACCCAAAAGAGGGCCTCTTGCGCCATGATCAAACTCCATTTGTGGGTCATGGTCTTCGGTCGCATGTGGGTCATGGTCATGGTGTCCTTCGTGGGAGCCTTGAGATTGGCTGTCTGAAACTGCCGTGCTTAGGTTGATGACAACTTGTCGACCCCAATCAACGGGTTGTTTCACCATGGCAGGCACAGAATTCATCTATAGTTTGATTCCTACTATTCTCCCGTTGCTCCCGTGATAAACCCTGGAACTCCTTACATTTATCAGGTTACGAAAGGAAGCAGACCTAGTAAGAGCTGGGAGTGGGGTGAGAACTACGCCTCAACAGCCATCAGTGTATCGTGCACATCAGTCAACTATTCGGCTTGTGTTCCGAGAGACAGAACAGGCGACATTGATGCTGGGCCAACAACCTAAACTACAAGCTGATCAACAAATGCGTCGCGTGTATGAAGCTTCCCCCCCGTATCCCGAAAAAACGACGAGCCAAACGCTCCCGAGCTACGCACACGAAGGCCGCCCAAGGTGTCACTGCGCAACTCGCTCACCAAGGTGGACACCTGGGCGACAAACTGGAAAGCGACACCAACACCCCAATAGAAATTCAACTTTGCTCTTGTCTCTTGTAACACTTCCCAAAAGTTGAACGGTGCGTGGTTGGCTCAAACAGATATGGTGACTGGGCGGGGTCTCTTCTTGGTGCTTGCGCCGGTTTTGTGGGGGACTCCAAATAGAGACCGAACGGAAATCAACAATTTCGAAGGGTCTCGTACTTTGGAAAGCACCCGCGTGCTGCGCAGTTCATGCATCGGCATTTGCACCCCGAGATGTGCTAGTCAAACCGTGCCAGCGTAGCTTCCTTACACACACACACACACACACACACACGCACACGCACACGCTCGTATAGTCGTGCCTCAAACTTAAGGACCGACATTGATAAGAGGGCCCTTGCTGGCGTCCTCTTAAAACCATGTATCCAAGCAGCTCCCTAGTCAATGATGAGACACAGTGTCCATCACATGGGTATGTCCCAACATGCGTTCTCCTCGCCTCCTTTTGCCAAACAGAGGTCTGCTCCACTTGAGCTTTGCTCGGCCCCCTCAAAGTGCCTCAAAGTGGACGGTGGGTGCCCCGAAACAAAAGACGCACCACATAGCACCCCCGTCCAAGAACGAAACGTTACGCCCACTCCCGTGTGAGGGCTGCTCAAACCTCCCCTGCTACGGACGATACCCCCAACAACACAAGGTTAAATCTGCACTACCGGGTCCATTACAATGATCCAAATTTCAATATTTTGGCTTATGGTGTAAAGGAAAACCCAGCCTCAAAGCATATCTATTTACCCTCAAAAATGCAACCACTTTCATGGCTTTCATGGACCCATACCAGGAGGGTCCACATTGCTGGTACAGGATGTTGCGCGTCAACCTTACTGGGTAGATAGACGTTTGGAGACATCAGCGAAGACACTGTGGAGAGGCTGCCGGCGAAGCCCGTGCTCACAGCAGTCAAGGCGGACCGGGCCAGGGAGTCATCATCGACTCTGACCTGAGCCGTGGCTAAGCAACAGGGATGGGCCAACCCCCTGTTGAAACATAATTGAACCATGATTGCGTTAACAACCTCCTGTTGAGTCCACCGGGGCTGATTTGTTTGAACATATTTCATCATGGGACAAGGCAACTAAAACATTGGATCTACGATGGTGAAACTAGTCTTGATTATATCTCCGGGGTAAACACTGTCATGATCATACTCTGAGGAAGCCTTTCAAACGCCATGTGAGGGTCAGAAGGCCGGCCAAACTCAACTGTACTGAACAATTTAACTATACGTCCAAATGAAGTGTTGTAAACAGAATAAACCACACAATTTATGGCTTTGTTCATTTCTTTTTGAAAAAAACGGAGTTATATTTCACAACTGTGTTTGAAAACGCTTCTAGAACTTCAAAAACGTTTCTATGCAATATAACAAACGATTTGCATCTCAGTTTTACATTTTGGGTTCTTATATATATATATATATGTTGCACATTGATAACATAATTTACGAATTTAGATATATGCATGATTGGACCTGTGCCCAATTGTTGCAACTTTCATGTACCTAGGTTTCGATTCTGAGCGTGGCTCAAATGATCTACAGCACGTTGTCGCACCTATTTGCAAAACATTGCTGATCCAAGTTGTTAGTTACCGACTATGGTGGATCTAAAATGTTTTTCACTTTTCAAAATACACACCATCAACGGCTTGCGCAACTCACCCCCCGTAAGATCAACTGCCAATTCACAAACTCGCAAACGCCTGTGGTCACAGCCATTTTAGATCTTGGCATTCTGCACCTTTCGACAACTTACACTGACTTACACTGCCGTGTGTTTGTTCCTTGGAGACAATGTGCCTTCGCATGCGGAACTGGAAGAAGGGAACACAGATGCGACTGAAACTGGCTCTCTCTCCGTCTCCCTCCCTTATCCCGACATCCCAAGCCAAATGGCTGTCAAACTGAGGATTCTCAGAAGTGGTTGGCTTCAAATAGCACCCAAACAAGCTCAGGCCCTGCCCTGCAATGCAAGCTGCTGAGTAAACGCCTGCTAAGGCATTGCACAAGCAGCCCAGAGTATTCGCGATCAGGGTGAAGCAGGGAAATCTCGGTCAGATTCGCTCGCTGCAAGGAGCTTAGCACGCAAAGCAAGGCAACACAAGCACTTGGGTAGCTTGTCCCCGAATCGAGGAAGAAACAAAAAAACATGAATGCGGTCTTTGAGCTACAATCCCAGACATTTGGGTGGGATCGCAAGCTCCACAACACCCCATCTCCTTGTGACACGCTCGTGGCTCTTCATAAAATATCGAACACCAAAAATCAAACGGTGTTGGACTTCAACTCAAAAAAGGGAAGACCTCTTCGAGACAAACTCAGCGCCAGTCGGAGCTGTGTGCTTGTTGAATAGCGACAACCTGCGCTATCGAGCTGAAGGCAGGCGATGACAGAGCACTTTTGCTCCCTTAAAATACGAGCATAAGGCACAGTGCAAGCCCTAAGCTCCACACCACCATCTAAGAAGTGCTCCGAATGGCCCCATGGCCAAATCCAGCAGACCTGCGTAGTATCTGTAACCTGCAAACAGAACGCAGCACTCATTGCAAACTGGCTACGTATCTGCGCGCATGTCTCCGGTGGTGCCGTTGTTTCCTCACGTTGCCAGTTTGTTTGTTTGCTTACCTGGTATACTGTCATGTCAGTCCGGATGTGTTTTTCTAACGGCCTTACAAGACAGGATCATCACACAACAAAGCCAGACTTCCGAGCAAGGGTCAAAAACCCTTCGCAAACACATGGCAAAGGCTCCTTGCCTGCAGCGACTCCCAGAAACCTCACAGCGACTGCCCAAATGGGAACGTGTCAAAATCGGGCAACCTTCGGATTGGTCCCAGGAAACCACCCCCAAACAAGACTCTCGGAAGGCCACAACTCATAGCTCTGTGGCAAATCTATTTGCTCCCAAGAGGAAAACAACCAAATAGGGCCGTCCCCTTGCTTTGTGGAAGATTTGCAGAGTTCCGCCTAGACCTGAACCCCAAACGGAGGAAATGTTTGCTGCACCTCAGTTGGAGTGAAGCGATACTGAAATGGACCATCCCCATGACTGATTCAATGCGACGGTTTCCACGGAAATTCAAGCAGCCCTATGTGTCCATTTTGGGAAATGGGACATTGTTTGGGAACACATCAATCCACCATGTGGAACATGTTGGAGCAGTGTTCAAACAGAAGTTGCGATCGACTCTCCCCAAACCGAGCGGATCTTCCACTGAGCGGACCGATCGAAGGCGACTCGCCAAGTCGCGTGGCGACGAAAGCAAAGGCGATTCCCACGATGGCCCAATGCACAGCGCTGCTCAAGAAAACCTCCTCGGCGGCTTCGAGCCGATCTGTCGATCTACCAACAGGAAAAGCGAAGTCTAAGTGTGTGTTTTAAGGGAAACCAAGAGGAGACCCTCCCTTTTGGACGTTCCCCCTATGTTGACTCCAACCCAAATTGAGCCATACTGTTGATAGACAAAATGCACCTCGAACCACCTTTGGACGAAACCCAGAAATGTTCGAATAAACCACCAGCTGGTGTGAGGTGGGTTGTGCCCAAAAGCACCACAGTCGAAACCCTGAGAGAAACAAACAGAGAGAATTGACACTGAGCGATGTGTGGACCTGCTTTTGCAAGGCCGCCGACACCGCGAAGATGAAAGCTGCAAACCCATACTTTTGATCAGTTGTTAGGTGGTCTATTCATATTCACAAGGTTTCGTCTGTCCATGGTCCACTGGTGCAGGAAGTTGTCCATCCATAGGGCTGTGTCTCAAGATGGGGTCACCACAAACAGGGTGGTTTTGCTTTAAAGCTTCCCTTAACGTACCTTGAAACAGCCCCCCTTCTTGGACCATCACTCGCGCCCGCCTCTCTCGGCGTCTCTCTCCAGGTTGAGGGCACATCCACCTGCAGGCCCCACTCCTCGTGCCTCAAGTTGAGGTCAGCTTCCCTTGATATCCCTTCTTGGTTTTCACGTCCATGGACAAAATCCATCTCGCAGTGTGGTTTTATTCTCCAAACATCAGGGCTTCATCGAAAGGTGCCATTTCCCTTCTTCTGGTGGGTTTCCCATGAGCTTTCCGTGTGTTCGACGAGCGCTGATCCTAGCCACCCGGGCCCATCTGTCCGTACCTCTGCAGAGGTGCTTGGGTTTGTCTTGCTCCTATGCACGAAACGCAGGCACTGTATGCATTTTAGCAGCCATGATGCACCCAGGCCCGGATTCAAAGGTGTAACAGAAGGGCTGAAGTACTACACACATTACGATCGAATTATTCAGGCCTTGTAAGTTGTAGCTTTTAACCCAACGCCAGCACAAATTGCGAGATTTGGCTTGCGTACGATCTCCTGTTGTTTTGTGGGGGCCTCTGAACCGAACGCTGCTGTTGGCAACTCTGCCAAGGATCTCTTGCGGAAAGCAGACATATATATATATATATATATTATATGAGTATCATTGTACACGTATGTTCTATAAACACAAAAAAAACTATTATGTGTTTTTTACATTGTATACTCTCTCTTTCTCTCATATGTATATATACACACGCACGCACAAACACAAAATGCGCACACCCCCACCCACACTCACACTCACACCCACACCCACAGCAACGCCCGCATTTACACATCAACCATACACACACACACATACTCACTCAAAAAGACACCCGGACCTGCACAACCACGACCTGCACAACCACACACGCACACAAAACAAGCATCATGTTGTATTTCTCAGGCTTGTCTAAGTGTGTGTGTGTGTAATGTGTGTGTGTGCGCGCATATTGCTCTTGTGGTTATGTGGATCGCCTGTTGCGTGTGACTCTGTTTGTGTTTGTGTTTTTGTGTTTTTGTGCTTGTTTGTGTTTTTGTTTGTTTGCTTGCTTGCTTGCTTGCTTGCTTGCTTGTTCGTTCGTTCGTTCGTTCGTTCGTTTGTTTGTTTGTTTGTTTGTTTGTGTGTGTGTGTTTGTTTGCGGTGTTGGGTGCTTGTGTGGTGTGTGTGCGTGTGGCACTATGTTCTTTGTTGTGTTGTTGTTGTCAGTGCGTGTTTGTCTGCGTGTGTGTGGGTGGTTGTTTACTGCTTTCGTTGCTTTGCCCAGGCAAAGAACATCATGTCAAACGTCTGACTGTGTATTTGCCATTGAACACCATGATCAACCAGGGCAATCCACTTTTGCTCAATAGACCTTGCTTCGAACGCGACTATGACTCCCCACCTGCCCTGCCCCGCCCATCCTACGAGTCAACAATCCATGACTTTGATCTAGACGCAGTTGTGTGCTTCAACTTCTTGTGCTTCAACTTTTTCAGGGTACCTGTCTTGCTTTGGTTTAAGGCAAAACAGGAGAGATCACATTTTTGTTACCCCCTCCCTGTTTTGACACGTGCGCATCTACAGCAGCAAAGTTGCTCTTCACCATCCGCGTCAGAATCGCTCGTGGAGCCACCCTCTTCAACAGAGTCCACCTGCAAAGTGTGGCGATCGCGCTCAGCATACTCTTCAGCACGGGCACAGCGGTGCACGCTGCAGCAAACGCTGCAAGCAAACAACAAATACATGCCAAATGAGCGTGTCTTGTTTGGGGGGTACCCTTTTTGGGTTTGTGTAAAGGGAATCCAAATGGAAACTATCCCATACAAAGGCAAATACATGCAGACATATATATATATATACATATATGACCCCCCCCGCTCCACAAAGTATTAAACAAAAACAAGAGAGTTTGACAGTATTTACAATACTTTTGGGTGATGTCCACCAGCTTTCAGACACCCTACATCTGGGCATCTAACTGCGCACGCAGTACACAATTGACTGTGTCTGTATCCAGCCAGAAAACTTTAAAGCGCTTTTGGATCTATAATTCAAGAATGAAGATTCTCAGGTCTCTAGATCTTGAACCCAGTATGGGGCCCCCAAAGAGCTTTTGGATCTAAGATTTAGGTTTCAATATTCCAGGAGTCTAGCTGTTGAAAGTTGAATCATGAGCTTAGCGCATTTTGGGTGCCCCATACTGGATTCAAGATTTAGGGTCCTGGGAATCTTGAATCTTAGATGCAAAAGTGCTTTAAAGCGGTTTATCGCGTTTTGGGTGCCCCATACTGGAAGCAAGATTCAAGATTTAGAGTCTTGGGAATCTCGAATCTTGAATCCCCGATCCAAAAGCGCTTCAACCGGCTTTGAGCGTCCGCTTTCAGTCATTCCTGTAAATACAGTCGATTGTTCAGCATATGGAGATTGGAGAGCTGACTCTTTCAACAATAACTTAAAGAAATCCACACCAACCCTTGGACATTGAAAAACACTGTAAATACCAGTGTTTTGCATTATCTTTAGCTGGTTTTGTGCAGAAAAGATTTCGTTTAGGGAAATTATCGTCTTAGCAAACAGGTCAAGGCATATAAGATGCGAGCAGTTGCTTTGGTATTGGTCAAGGTTTGTGAGCTGACAAACAAACGAAGGGGATTTGCAAATGAGTTGAGATGAGAGCTAAGATGCGCAGCAAATATTTTGGTATTGACACAGGTCTGCAAGTTGACAAGCAAAGAGGATTTGCACGTCGGTTGAGATGATAAATCGAAGATGCGTCGGTGATGCAGAACAGGCATTTGCATTGATTTCGATCCCCTTGCGCCGGTACCCTCACAGCGATGCTTTTTGGTCAATTGAGCGAGGATAACTTTGGTGGTCAAGACTATAAAAGCAACACTAATATTGACACACTTCGAGATTAAAATCTGAGAGAAGAGAACATCACGACGATGTGTATTTGAAAGCAGGTGTATTATTGTTGCTTGCTTGACATCTTTGAAGACTTCAGATGTAGGTATGCAAGATGATGGTTTGTTCAAATGAACTTGTGTTGAAATAGATGCAGTTTATTACCATCATATGTATGAAACGATTGGAACGGATCAAGGAATGCCACAAATATTATTTTCAGAAAGTAGACGCAAATGAATCGTCTGCGCAAGTCTGCCAACATTGTGAAATGAGCGCACTTCTGGTAACATCCGCGTAAAACGACCTGACTTCCCTTACATCAGCAGCAGTGGAAACCGGGGTCAATGAATCCATAAGGGTGCAGAATTGGGGAACGAGGTGGGAAAACCTGGCCGCGTAGGAAATAACTACCGCAGCTCCTCTATATGTATATATATATAATCTATATATATATATACACAGTATATGCACCTCCCCCGCAAAACCCACGCACGTGTGTGTGTGTGTGTGTGATCTCGACCACCTGCATGTCACTCGTTTGGGGTGCTCAGTATCTGACCCCAAAATTGCTTTGGCATGCTCACAGGCACAAGCCTGCCCAGTACATCTCCTTGAAACAGGGTTCTGAGCATTCCTCCGGAGCGCATTTTTGGCCGGGGCCACCCACAAGAGTCCGCTCTGTTTACCCCAAACAAAATCGGTGAGGGGCTTTGCTGAAGTCTCAAAAGGCTGGGGGGCCTCCAAGCGGGCGTTGCTTGAACTTGGGCTATGGAGCACTACCCAAATCCCTGCATTGGCCAACCCAGTAGCCCGGCTTTTACTGTATATCGTCTGTGAGTAAAGGCAGTCGCTTATATATATATATACACCTTTGTCAGGTGAACAAATTCTTGTCAGGTGAACAATTTCTTGCAGAGACAACAAGACTCAACAACAAAACGATGAACCTTGGGGCATCCCCCAAGGCAGCACCCAATGACACCAGGATCCCAAAAAAGGCTGCGAAAAACAATGTGAACTTCTGGCATCTTTTTGGAGTGTTCAAGGTGTTTGGGGGGGAACCCGAATCCATAATCCACAATCCGTAGATGCACACCACAACAAAAACACTACTATGTGGCACAAGGATTAGGGGTGGATTTTGAACAACCCGGGCATTGGCTCCCCAAACGGTGCCTCTTTGGAAAAGAGGATCCGCAGCCCGCAGTACTCATCGAAGCATTTTGGCTCTTCCTGCACACCCCTTGTTGTGACGGTTTTATGTTGGGGAACCCATCAGAAGTCAAAGAACATCTTGCCCAACTGAGAAAGCGGTTCTAGTCCAGCTAAATCGTCAATGGGTTTGGGTCGTGCTGAATTCGGGGTCTACGGTGTACGATTGTTTTGGAGGATTGCACTGAGCCCTAGCAGCTAAACGAGCAAGGCTCCCATGACTTCTTGATCAGCTTTCATGCGCTGGTGAGCCGCTGCGGGTTCAATCATGTCCATTGGGCAACCTTGCTCATGCTTGCGCTAAAAAAACCGCAAACTGATGAGTTGCGCGAAACACATTTGAGGGAAGGGCGGGTTGTCTCCCTGCGAATGCCCAAGGAACACCACCAGATTGATCAGATTGATCTCCACACACTCCCGCAAGGCGGAGAATGCCCTGCGTCCTCCATTCCGCAGCCAGCCAAGAAGTGGCCAAAACCTGGGGCTGAGCGTGGATAGCGGCCGCTTAACTCGGATTGACAGGAGGCCTGGAGGCTGGAGCCTCCAATGACGCTATCGGCCTCAAAGCTAATGTGCCTGAATGGTAGGCGCATCTGCCATCGTGCCAAAGTCTGACCAAGGCCGCCGGAGCCTTCTGAATCCTTCCACAACATGGGCCGCCAGAAGTATGAGGCCACACAAGTAGACCTTTCTGGAGGAGAATGAAAGTAACCCCTTGAAAAACCCTCAAGGAAGACTTAAACCCAGGAGTTTCTTTTTTTGGAAATTCGGCCACCCCTAGGTTTAAGTGCCGCAGGAAGCAAAAAGGGGACATTGGACGCTTTTCAAAAAGACCATTCTGTCCCCCGCTTTTTGTCAGCCAGCGCTGGAGAGGACTTGGGTTTTTGCCCTGCAGCCGAAGCAGCGATACGAGGCCATGGACACGCAAAACATGCAGAGCCTCAGCACCAAAGTCAGGCAGCAAGTTGGATTCAAAGGAACTCCCCGACCCCTGAAGTCCAACCAAGCACAAAACAGAGTTCTTTCTGAACTTGTGGTTTCACTTGCAAAACCATTTGAGGACAACTCCCATGCAAACCTTTCTTCATGGTGTCCCTTAAGTTTGGAATTCAGAGCTTGGGTGTGTCCGTTTCTTGGTAGCAATCTGGTGATTGTACCTAATGCGAGTGAAGGCTTCTGTGGTGGGGATTTGCAAACTTCTCCCTCCAAACACAAAGTGAACTGACTGCTGGTGATCAGGTTGTGAATACATGGGCATGGGCCCCTTTCGGGACCATGTGGGACCTCGTTATCAAATGCATGGCGTGTTTCCGAGGCGTCCACATGCTTGCGACGATATGCTTGGAGGGCTTTGGAACCCTTGAAGCAGCATAAGGCGTTTGGGTTTAACCAATTCGCTTTGGACTGCCAATGCCTTGGGGCTACCCGTTCTAGGCAACCCCTTGGACTGGTGGGCCATGGCCGGCTTCCTTACCTTCTCAAATCCCCAAGGTGTTGATGGCCATCCAAAGCGAGAAAATGAGGAAACCATTTGCCAACATGTGTGGCTTCCCCTTGATCTTGATTTGAAAGCAAACCAAAAAGGGCCTCCAAAAGAACAACAGCCTGTTTCAGGGACACCATTTGGGCAAGTTTGGAGGTCCCAACCACGAGCAATTTGCACTGCCACCTTTTTGGAGTGGCTTTACTGGAAATTCAAGGGAAACACCCATTTTGTTTTGGAGGGTTTCCTATTTGATATACACACACGCTCCCGCTTCGCACATGGTTGTGGACAATTTCTCCTCGTTTACTACCATGCCGAAAACCCACGGCTTTTCCGCAGTTCAAATTTGGCCCGCCGAGACCCGCGGCTTTTCCCGTCCAAAGGGCACGCTCACAAAAGCCTGGAAGATGTTGCCGTTTACCACGGTAGAGGCAACCTCGGACGCGACTACGCGATAACTCGTGAGCCAAGAGAACCCACGAGGAAAATGGTTCCGGAGATGTTCGGGGCGTTTGGGTCAAAAAGCCTCCTTAGAAGGTAACGGATTAGAGATTCACATTCCCAGAGACTCATTCGGTAGAAAAAAGGGAGCCCTTGTTGGGGCTGTTCATTTTTCGTCAACCCACCAGGACAAAGGGTGTCATTGACTTTTGTCATGGTTCCATACGTCCCCTTTCGGGAGTCAATCTAACATGGTTCAGAAAGTGGTTTTGAAATCACCCCAAAAAGGAAGATACAAGGAACTCTATTGGTTCAAAAACAAAGATGCTTGCCAAGGCTTATATGGGCCTTACTCCATTCAATCACCTAATAGAGCAACTAGGGGGTGACTTCCTTATTCCTTCCAAGGAACCGCTTTTCAGACCACCAAAATCCCAGGGGGTCGTCTCATGTTCGAAAAGAACGATAGTTGAGGAGAATGGGGACTCAACCCCTAGAGACTCCTGACGCTCAAAAGAAAGGCCAGGTAAAGCTCCGGGTTCGTCACAAAATCGGACCCCCTGCAAGCCTGCAAATGCAGGAGATACAATCATCCCTCCACCATCAGGGAGGGGTGATTTGGTCCCCAGTTCCATTTGTCTAGTCTTCCCGGCAAAGCAAATCACAGATCCATAACTGAAATTCCCGGGCTACGCTCCTCCCCGAAAAGAGGAAACTGTCGGGGTACAACTCATTGCCCGAACAACCTGATGTAGGAGTCCTCCGCAAACTGGTGAAGAATCCACACCATTTCGCACATACGGTTGGGACTGAACCTGAGGCAACCCAGGTTTTCATTGTGGCTGCTGCCTTACTGGGGCGTTGCATCTAAATGGGGCTTCAGTTTCTTCCTGGGCTTCTCTTCAAACCAACTTCAACCAGGTGTTATATAACTAGGCCCAGGGGCAACAGTTGCCATTTGGTTTCCCTATGATCAAAGGGTTCGCCAAGTTCGGGGAACCAACCAGAATATCGGAGATAGGGTCCAATAGGACCAAGGACGCCTCCAGGTTTTGGAAACAACAACTACGACAGCTAGACATATTTGTTCAGAGCTTCCATATCTATTGGGGGCGTAATCCGAGGGGCTGAATGAATCATACCACGCATACCGTCTGATCATGCCTTGATTGAGTTTTAGGCTTTAGGGTACCCCACAATCCAGTTCTAATTCTTGGGGGGCAAATTCCTGTACTATGATTCACAAACTGAAACAAAGACACCCCAAGCCAGGGGACTTCATCATGAGCTCATTTTACCCCGAGAGCTTGTGAACTCTATTTGCGCGCCCCGCCTCACCCATCCATGTGGCCCAAGTCGTGAGAGCTCCGCAAAGGCCCGAAGACAGGCCGGTGGCCAAATGCCTTGGCCAGCTCGCATCTGCAAACTTTAGAAACGGATCCGCCGGACAGAATTGGATCATTCAAAAAGTTCTACCCTTGCTTGATTTGGGTCTGGAGCAACCCTGACAAAGGGTGGCCTTTCTCGCTTGCATCCACATGCACGCCAGCAAATTCTTTAGGGGTCCTCAATTTTAATTTGTAGCCCCCCGCTAAACATGAACAGGACCAAACAAGCAACAAATTGAAACAACATACCAAGAACGGGGACTCCAAATGTTAAATGCATCTGTTCCTGCAGACGCGGCCCGTCTCTAGTGCAACTCAGCTGCTGGTTCATCGCCTTTTTGTGCCTCACAAAAAAAGGCAACACGAGGGTCGTGGCTGTGGCTTGGAAGTTTGGTAGTGGTTTTTCATCTGGCAACAAGAAATGCTTCAAATCCCCACAGAGATCCAAATCACTAACTATTCGGCTCACCTGAAGTTTGTGAACGGAAGTGTGTGATTTTGATAGCCCCCGCCAAAGACCTGTGAAGAAAACGGCATGGGCTCCGATGTACTCAGGTGACACGGGTTTTCTTTTCAACTTGAAATTAGACATCTGCCCGAAAGGGGAGATGTAAGCGAACCTAGAAAAGATCCAAAGGCCCGGCCTGGCGACCGCGGCCATGAGAATACACCCCAGCACATTCTGGAAGAAGTAGCCAGAGGCACTGCTATCTTTGTAACCTATGGCAGCACGTGAAAGATCCAAGTGCACCAACATGCACCGGCCGTGAGAAGAATGTCGCGTGCGGAGCAATCCAAGCCACAACTCAACATGATGCACTGACATGAGGAACTCCACAAACGACGTTAAAGTTGGGTAAGCTTGTTTCATCCCAAGCTCTTTACTCGTATCACTGTCATTTGTGCAAGGGATTGTCACTTGAGGCTGCGGCAGGTATGAGCATGTCTCTTCAGGAAAGGTCCTGAAGCTTGGGCGAACCCGAACCAAGCTGACCTGAAAGTTTTAAAATGAGGAAAGCACCGAAATGCGGGATTTCCTGCAAACAACCAAACGCTCAAAATGTTGCGTTTGGACATGTGAGAAAGGACACTTCCCGCTAGGTCGTGACATCCCCAAGCATACCCACGAAATGATGGTTTACAATCATTTCCACCCCAAAGTAATTTTGAGAACTCCTGAAATTCTTGCCTAGAAGGGAGCTGGCTCCCGCCCAACAAAAAAACACTTGCAGATCTAAAATATATAGCTATCTCAATGTTTACACACATAAATAAATACATGCGTATATAATATATTGTCTGGTACTGTTTGAATGCAGGTCATGTTGCGGTTGGCTTTAGAGGGAAAACCACAACAAAAGAACCAAACATTGAGGGGACCCAATTTGAAACATGCCCAGCTCAACTGGCAACCTTCCCATCCATTCCAACGCTTCAGCCCCTCCCCAGCAGCCGCTCCCCACCAGCCCCATATTAAGCCCTTGTTAGCCTTAAGGGCTTATTTGGGTTCCCCCCCCTTCCCCACCAGCCCCTCCCCACCCGTCCCTAAGCCCTTTTTAGCCTTAAGGGCTTATTTGGGTTTCCCCCCCTCCCCACCAGCCCCTCCCCACCAGCCCCTCCCCACCAGCCCCTCCCCACCAGCCCCTCCCCACCAGCCCCTCCCCACCAGCCCCTCCCCACCAGCCCCTCCCCACCAGCCCCTCCCCACCAGCCCCTCCCCACCAGCCCCATATTTAGCCCTTGTTAGCCTTAAAAGCTTATTTGGGTTCCCCCCCCTCCCGACCTACAAGCCTCAAACAGACCAATCCCAGTTTTGCTTTCTGAACCCGGCGTGGAATGGTGTGTGACCCGGCTAGCGCCCGCTCCTGGATGTGTGGTGGTCACACCAAAGTCCAGAGGCTTCAGCCACTCCCAAATGGCCACACGGATGGCCTCGCTCGAGCTCCCGAGTGCCAGTTAGCACAAGAATTCATTCTTTTCAACCATCGTTTTTGCAAGCCTTTTCCCTGAGTTGCTTTGTGATTGTTTTCTGGAAAGAAGGATCCCTGAAAATAATGAACGCCCTGGTGCTATGGTAAGGAACCCCAGGCCTGCTTGGGGCCTTGCAAGAAGCAAGACGTTTGCTATGAACTTTCACAGTCGGATCCTCAAAGATGGGAGTGCGCCAAAAGGTCCATGTCCAATTTAGACCCCGGTCTCGGAAGGGAGGGGGCGTGGTCCTCATCACCGAGCGAAGTCTGAGCCCGTCTAACTGCCAAGCGTCACAGCCAAAGAGAGCGAAGAAAGCGACGGACAGCGCAGTAATCAATCTTGATTCCCGCTGGAAGAAGCGAGTCCTTGGGGAGCTGTCCGATTGCTCAAGAAACCTATCCACTTCCAGTCAAGGTCAGCAAATGTCAAGAAACGATTCCCCACGTGTCGAAGCGCAGTGTTTCTACACACATGTGCAGGAAAGTAGCGATGGCATACGGAGGTGGAAAAGGAGCAAATACAGCTGCGCAGTTGCTGTCACTCTCCTTGCTTCTTATGCTTCAACATCTTGCCACTGTTGCGTTGCCTATGCTTTCCCTTTTCAGAAAAACTTGTGCAACTCAATGAAGTCAGATCTTGTCAACGAACTCCCATTGCGTGTTTGTTTCATCTGTCTCAGGATGGTTTTGGCTGGTCATGTAGAATGTCGATTCTACAAGCTGGCTTTGCGAAACTTTAGTTTAATTTCCTGCGGCTTACCGCTGCGAGCCAGTGAGCACACACACACACACACACGCATCCAAACGCAGCAAGTTGGTCGGATGTTCAAAATTATTGGTGGGTCACTGGAAAAGATATGCAAGGACCAAATCAACTCCCTCACTGCAAAAACTAGAACTGAGCACCCCACTGCGCCATGACCTGCACAGGTATCCCTGAAAAAGTGTCCAAGTTGGACGCAGGAAGAGATAATACTTCCCAGGTCAAAACGAAAGGCCCCCCCCCGCCCACCCGCGGAAAGGTTCGTGGAACCTCTTAAAGGGGTTCTTGGAAGGGTTCTGGGAACCTTCTATGGCATGGGTGGGATTGGGGGGACGGGGGTGCTAGGGACATTGACATAGTGCAAACATTGTTGAGCCACCATCAATATTCTCAGTGTCCCCCGCTGACATTGGGTTTTGGCGAAGAATTGACCCCTGTTAACATGGCAATGTCATGAGTGTGCCAATGTGTGCCACTGCCATCCCCTCTATTACAGTACTTGATGGTGAATACTGACTCTTGCTCAATCTCTGCGTGTGGGTGGCATTATTTTGTCTCCTTTCAAAAGTATCCGAAAAGGCTGCGTCAAGAAACACCCAGAGAGCGAGAGAGAGAGAGAGAGAGCGAGAAAACAAAAGAACAAATTATATACATGCCAACAAGTGTTGCATGACGTCTCCTGCCCAGCAACTCGCAATGCTGCACCCTGAACATGGTTCATGTCGGATTGGGATTCATACACAAGGCAGGCAGAAAGCCATTAGCATATTTGTTGGTCGCTAGCAGTTTTAGCGGAAAACATGCTCGGTGGCTATTATTAGGGAACCAACGGGAACAACCAGGTAGTAGAAACAAAGGCCTTTTCGCCTTCTGCCGCTAAATATGTCTGACGAGATACTGTGGGGTGAGCGACGCGAACTGGGCCACTCTCCCAGGCGCGCGCGCTCCACTTTTCGGGCGACGTCCGGAGGCTCGCGCGAACTTCATGGCGTCATTCTGGCAAGTTCCTGTCGAGTGGAATGCGATGTGAAGCCGAAGGCTCAAAGGCTGGTCCCCAGTGGCAACGAGTGACCCACTCGTTGAAAAGGGAGGCCTTTTGGGAGGTGACCATAAGGAGTTTAGCAGAAAAAGGACAAGGGTGCCACTCCATTGGATGTCCGGCATCTGTGAACACACGGCATGTTTGGTAAACCTAATAATATGAAGGCCTCACCTGCGTAAAGACATGCAACTAAACAAATAAGAGGCCAAGGACGAGGAGGCCAATGCTGTATACAATCGCCACTAAATTAGTCACTAAATGGACTTGAGATTCTGTAATTAATTGAGGCCCACTACTGTTGTTTGGATGGCTGGCCGGGCCCGTACATGTTTGAGAAACCTCGCCCGAAATCATGTGAATCTAAGTTTGGGTCAACATGGTCAACTACAAAGGCCCCATCGCTCGCTTTGAGATGCCTGTTGACTGCTTATGTGTGTTTGGCATCAGCTCTATAAAGTATCACCGCTGGACTTTTGTCAGGGTCTGCTGTAGAGAGTCCTTGGGAGCATCGTTCTGAAGCATTTCTGAAGCATTTCGGACCATGGATAATTTGCAAAAAGATCAGTTTGCATGAGTCTACATTGGAGCCATGATGAACCAATATGGAGCAACCTCTCTTGCCAGTCAAATGCACCAAAGGCATAATCATGCAGCACGAGCACACCGTCAACACCACTAACATCATTCGGAACGCCAGTACCGTGAATATCTTTAACTGTGTTCACACCATCACAATTGACAATCATGAAGGCGTTTATAGTGCTGAATCGCTAACAACGTGAACGAGGTCGAATACTGCGCTCACTTCGCACAGTTCACGGCATGCAGCACACATTCAACATAATATATATATATATATATGTATAGGCAAATGACAGGTGTCACGCCTGCCAATATTTGAAAAACACAGGATTGCCCTTTCCCTCCTACAGGCGTCAAGGTTGGTTGTGAACAACAAGCGGCAAACCGTATCACCCCACCTCACCACCCTGCTTCCCTTTGGAAAGATTGGTACATGGCAGGCGCGTACGATCGTTGCACAGCAAACACAACAGGGAACAAAAAGGCACCAACAGGAGCAGCAGCAGCCGCAACGACATCGGCAATGGCAATGACAACAAACCAAAGCTCGCAGCACAAAAATAAACTGCAAAACACTATGCCAAAGCGCAAGTTTCACCTAGCATGGCGCCTTGTTTGGCCTTTTCAGATGTGTCTTCTTCGGCTTTCCACTTCCGACTGTCAAGCGGCTGAAGGAAATCACGCATCCACCTCCTTGCCCTCCATCTCAACCTCAGCCTAGGTGTGGGCTTTTCCACACGGGAACCCAGGATGAAACAGGCCCGCCGGGGTTCGTTTGTGCTCAGAATCACAAGACCAATGTGTGAGAAAAGAACAAAGCCCAAAGGCTGAGTTCACTGGCCGGTGCCCCCTTTTTAGGAGGGACCCCCCCTATTTTCCGCTAGATTGATTCATCCAGGGTATGCTAGACCCCCTTTGGTGGCAAATACAGGGACCTCCCAAGAGGGTTTCTCCAAAAAAAGGTAAAGAAGTTCAAGGGCGAACCCAACTCAGGTTTCCCCGCAAAAACGGTCTGCGTCGCATATCTGCCGATTTGACTGGAGTCTAGTTCCTGGTCGAATCTTACAATCCACATTTGCTTCATCCAAAATAGAAGTTGAGTCGCCAATTCTCACTTTGCCAGCCAGAAACGAGAGGCTCCAAACAACTGCAAGCTGAGACGGTAGCAGGCGTCTGACACAAGACGCTACCACAGCGGTGGTTCTTGTAGCAGCCTCCTCAACATTACCCATCCAAAGTGGTGACTTCTTGTTGGTTTGGTGAAACAAGGTCATGTCCAAATCTCCAAATTGGCCCATCTTTTAAGGACCAAGTCAAGTTGAGAAAGCAGGCATTGGATGGTTCCGCTTGGGCTCATTCCAACTCATGCGTATCAAACCAGCAAGACGAACCCGTCAAAAAGGCGACCAACCATTTTTGGGGCTTTAAAGGGTGGTTTCAAGGGGTAAACAATCTTAAGGGGACGGAACCAAGCTTTTCAAGGTCGAACCACCTACCCTGGGCTGTCAGGTCCACCCCACAAAACCAGCTGAAACCTAAAGAACTGGATGGCTGGGAACCCCCTGCGAAGCGACTTGCCTGGTGCGTGACCATGAACACCCCGGCTGCTGCGACACCACCCAACACCTCCAGCACCGTGTAGATCAACGCCTCATGTGAATTCAACTCGCTGGCTGTACGGACAAAAGCAAACTCCAGTGGATTTTTGGGGAAGAAAAAAACACATCCTCTTACTTTTGATAGTTGGTTTAAACAGCTAGGAAGTTTGGTCGTTGATTTTCTCAGAGGACCCTCTGGAAAAGGGAAACAAAGGCAGGACTGGAGGTCTGGGAAATGCTTCCCTGAAATGAAATGAGGAAATCGGGTGCCGTCGCGACTTGACTCTAAAAACCCCTCGCAATCACGATAGGGTCTGCCTTTTGTTTGTAATTACTTTAGGTGGTCCCCCATGTAGAATACCAAACAAGTCTTTCTGTCACTCCTTTGCTCTTCGTCGGAAAGTGCTGCCAACAGTTTCTGCCGAGCGCGGTGGATTCTTCGTTTTGTGAGCCGTCAATCAAGTCCATGGAAGTGACATGACTCTCTAAATGCTGGAGGAGTCATCTTCATAACTCCCGATCTATGGACAGGCCGTACGTATGCGCGCAACACCATAGGGAAATCTGCTTGGAAGGGTCTGAGCTACACACCCTCAGACTACACCTCGCAAGGGAGGCCAAAAAAACTACAGATGTTGAGGTCTTTGGGCATTCGCCTGGGCTTATACAGATCCACTCTTAGAACCTTAGCTTTTGCCCAACCACAAATCACATGTTTAGATTGTAGCCGATATTCAACGAACCCTCAACTAGACAATGTCAAACAGAACTTTCGAGATGTCTCTGCTCAAGAGCTACCTGACCCCAGTTTGCTTGAATTCCAGCCTTAAAGTCCCCAGTTTGGTTGGGGCTCCAGGCGCCCCTTTGCTCTGCTTGGGTAGCCATGCCATGGTGAACGACGCTTGGTCAAAATGCTCTTGGGAGTTTCCGCTAACGAGCAACTATCCGTTCGAGACAGGCCCCGGCCTTATAGAAATATCCGCCGTTCAGCAGATTCGACGTGGCGATGCCGAACCTGAGCTTGGCCAAAACGGCCAACCCAAACTGAGGCTAGGGCTGCCTGGCCAAATTGGCAAAGCAAGCGCTTTTGCGTCCCCGTTTTCGCCTCACAAGAAGTGGCTGGCCAACCTTGTAGCGAGCGGGCCTTTGAGAGCATGGCAAAGGGGCAAATCGGTTCATGACTGCTGATTGCCGCGGCAGCATGTGCGAATCCCTGACAGTAGCAAACAGATTGATAGAGTGCTCGACCATAAGTTTGGCCGAGCAATGCCGAGAAACACAATATGGGAGTGGCCCAAAAGTCTGCGAGCAACAAAAAGCTCTAATTGTGAGCCACAGGCGGGCCCTTGTTCAAGCGACACCAAAGCGAACCAACACATGCCGCAGCCTGGGTCGACTTGGATGGGCGGCAAGTGAGCTAAGTTGTAAGTGCTCATGACAAATCAAGGGAGTTCAAAGGGGGTTAACTTCTGGGGGTCCGAACAAATCCTCTACAAAACGTCCCATGTTCTTCTGCAGGGGAGCCACAATGTACTCGTTGCTTCGCCCACCTCACGCTTGCACTGGTCCAATGCGCGCTAGCTTGAAGAAGCCTCGTCGAATCCTCCGAAAGGAGATGTGCAACGGGTGTGTGTGTGCCATGGCCATTGAGATGCTTCAAGTGGGAACCCTGAAAACCTCCTTGTTGTTGGCTTCCCACAACTGGGGCCAGGACCGCTCCCCAATGATGGGTTCTGCAATACTTCCTTTCAAACCACAAAGAGAGAGAGAGAGAGAGCTTGGTTTTGACAGCTGGCTCAGATCCCTAGCTTGAGCTCCTATCACCCCGAACAATAACGTTGAGAAAGGCCAACATTGGCTAGCACTTCGTAGTCTAGTGGCAAAGCTTTCCCAAACAAATCAAGTAGATTGAAGCAAGCAACATCGCGAAACTAGGCTAGCTGAATAATTAAGTGTCTGCCGAGCTGCGACACGGCCGGGTTCAGGGATCCACCCGAGATGCCGCCGATGGCGAAGCCGCCAACAGTCACGCAGGAGCCAATGGCAAGGCCAAAGAGATGCGATGCCTTGGTGCGCTCAGACACCGCCACGCAAAGCACCACAAAGCACAAGACGAAGGTGTACACGATTTCCGCCACAGAGACACCTGCCCACGTGCTGAAACCCACTGGCCCTAAACCAAAGGTAGCTCCCTGGTAGATGAAGGCATAGGTGAAGGCCGCAGCAATGCCTCCTGCAATCTGTGCACCGGCATAGGTACCGGCCTTGGCTGGAGTGAGCTCCGGGCAGCGACCAGAGGCCAGGATAGCCACAGTCACTGCAGGGTTGAAATGAGCGCCGGAGACGTCTCCCAGCGCATAGATCATGGACGTGAGGCCAGCAGCAATGGAGAACGCAGCTGCCTTTGACTTGCCCAAAACGTTCAAGCCGACAGTCAGCACCAGCATGTAGGTTCCCAGGAACTCGCTCACCAACTCAGTCACCTGAGACTTCTCACCTCCAAAGTCCTCTGGCCGCACCACCTTGAAGAGTGCAGCAGCCATGGCAGCTCCCATCAGCTCAAAGATGATGTAGAGAATGCTCCAGCCGAAGCCAATCCCTGCGCTGGAGATGTCGATGCCCAAGGCCACAGCAGGGTTGAAGCAGCCGCCCGACACGGCGCCGGCACCGTAGGCACCCGCAACCACGGTGAACGCGATGGCCATGCCGTAGTACTGATTTTTCTCCGTAGCGTTCTTCTTGGCAGCAGCCACATTCATGACGACAAAGGTCAGCATGAAAGTGTACAGCAGCTCGCAAAGACCGGCGTGGTACCAGGAGAAGCCCTTGGATGGGGCCAGGTTGAAGCTTTGTCCGAAGAGCAGCGAGTAGCACACGGCTGCCGCTACGCCAGCGGCAGACTGCACTCCGCAGTAGATGCCCACCGTCTGCCAGTCCAGACCAGGTCCGCCCATGGCCCTTGACATACCAAGAGTCATGGAAACAGCAGGGTTGAAGTTGGCACCGGAGATGCCTCCCAAAGCATAGATGCACACCATCAGCACGAATGCGATGGAAATGCCCGCCCAAGTGGCACTTCCCCCCAACACGTTGCAGCCCACTGTGAAGATCAGGAGAAAAGTCCCCACAAACTCGGCAGTGCACTTGGCAGCCATGGTTGGTTCCGGAGCCATGGTTGGCCTTAGATGTTGGGATGCGCTGGGATATGCTGAAGTCGAACAGCTAGCCTAGCTCTGGCCCCAAAATAAAATCATGTCCGCTCCGTCGCACGAAAAGCCTAGTTCTGGGGTGGGTCGTCCAACATGCTTCCTGGGCCTTCTACATTTTGCGGATTTTTCCACTCCCCCCAAAACTGAAATCATTCCGCTCCCTCGCCTGTCTTGGAGATGAGGTGCTTGCGGAAGAAGGCTTGATTTTTCGTGGTTACTGGGCAAGTCTTGCAAGCTGCGGCACCTCCCAACAGGTGCCAACCGTGCGCAGCGTGGGCTTTTTGCAAGAACACTTCACACAGCGCGCACACGCAAACTGCAACAAAGACAGATGTATGCGTACCCAAGCAGCGCGGAAGAGAAGGCTGGTACTTCAATGCAGGCAACGGCGCCCGGCGGGTCTGAGAAAAGCTGCGATGCGATCAAGCACTGCTCAATGCAAGTGCGCAAGATTGTGGCGGCCGACTCTAGTGGCTTATATCGTCACAACATGCGTGGTATTGAACTTCACTGCAAACCTTGAAATCCAAAACACGGCAAACATTGCAATACTCAATACGCAAGTAGGCTGTTTGGTACGCTGCACAGAAACATGCAAGCACCTGGGTGCGTACGATTGCGCCAGCGTCCGCTGCACTTGCCAGCTGGCAGTGCGCTTCGAGCTTGCTTCCTGCTCATGCCTCAGCCTTCTCAGTCTTCTCAGTCTTCTCTTCAGCAACATCGGCCTCACAAGGTGTCACATGAGGGCATGCATCGTACCTTGCTGAGCCTCGACACATGATGCCGCTGCATGCGCTGACATGTTCGGCTGCAATGGCAACAAGTCGTGTGAACTCCGCCCATGTCAGCGTGCTGGCCTCGTGGGTCACCTTGAAAACACCCGCAGCCGCAGCTGCGCCGATGACTTCCAAAGCAGAGTAGATCAAAGCCTCACCACGAAAATAGCACAGCTGCCAGGTGAATAGTAAATCAACTACAACTGCAATGTGATCCCAGCTTTCCCTGCCTGGTAGAATCGGCCGCCATTGAACAGGGCAGCAGTGGCGATGCCGCACCTGAGCTGTCTGTTGACGCTCTGTCCGCAACGCCGGTGCAAACCAGTTGCAAACTCCGACCGCTGCCAAGCTGCGACACGGCCGGGTTCAGGGATCCGCCCGAGATGCCGCCGATGGCGAAGCCGCCGACAGTCACGCAGGAGCCAATGGCAAGGCCAAAGAGGTGCGATGCCTTGGTGCGCTCAGACACCGCCACGCAAAGCACCACAAAGCACAGGACGAAGGTGTACACGATTTCCGCCACAGAGACACCGGCCCATGTGCTGAACCCGACTGGTCCCAAATCGAAGGTAGCTCCCTGGTAGATGAAGGCATAGGTGAGGGCCGCAGCAATGCCTCCTGCAATCTGTGCACCGGCATAGGTACCGGCCTTGGCTGGAGTGAGCTCCGGGCAGCGACCAGAGGCCAGGATAGCCACAGTCACTGCAGGGTTGAAATGAGCGCCGGAGACGTCTCCCAGCGCATAGATCATGGACGTGAGGCCAGCAGCAATGGAGAACGCAGCTGCCTTTGACTTGCCCAAAACGTTCAAGCCGACAGTCAGCACCAGCATGTAGGTTCCCAGGAACTCGCTCACCAACTCAGTCACCTGAGACTTCTCACCTCCAAAGTCCTCTGGCCGCACCACCTTGAAGAGTGCAGCAGCCATGGCAGCTCCCATCAGCTCAAAGATGATGTAGAGAATGCTCCAGCCGAAGCCAATCCCTGCGCTGGAGATGTCGATGCCCAAGGCCACAGCAGGGTTGAAGCAGCCGCCCGACACGGCGCCGGCACCGTAGGCACCCGCAACCACGGTGAACGCGATGGCCATGCCGTAGTACTGATTTTTCTCCGTAGCGTTCTTCTTGGCAGCAGCCACATTCATGACGACAAAGGTCAGCATGAAAGTGTACAGCAGCTCGCAAAGACCGGCGTGGTACCAGGAGAAGCCCTTGGATGGGGCCAGGTTGAAGCTTTGTCCGAAGAGCAGCGAGTAGCACACGGCTGCCACCACGCCAGCGGCAGACTGCACTCCGCAGTAGATGCCCACCGTCTGCCAGTCCAGACCAGGTCCGCCCATGGCCCTTGACATACCAAGAGTCATGGAAACAGCAGGGTTGAAGTTGGCACCGGAGATGCCTCCCAAAGCATAGATGCACACCATCAGCACGAATGCGATGGAAATGCCCGCCCAAGTGGCACTTCCACCCAACACGTTGCATCCCACTGTGAAGATCAGGAGAAAAGTCCCCACAAACTCGGCAGTGCACTTGGCAGCCATAGTTGGTTCCGGAGCCATGGTTGGCCTTAGATGTTGGGATGCGCTGGGATATGCTGAAGTCGAACAGCTACGTAGCCTAGCCCGCTCCGATGTCTTTTAAAGACATCGGAGCGAAAATGATGTTATTTTGGGGCCAGAGCTAGGCTACGTGACGAGGTGCTTGCGGAAGAATGCTTGATTATTCGTGGTTACTGGGCAAGTCTTGCAAGCTGCGGCACCTCCCAAACAGGTGCCAACCGTGCACAGCGTGGGCTTTTTTTGCAAGAACACTTCACACAGCGCGCACACACAAACTGCAACAAAGACAAATGTATGCGCACCCAAGCAGCGCGGAAGAGAAGGCTGGTACTTCAATGCAGGCAACGGCGCCCGGCGGGTCTGAGAAAAGCTGCGATGCGATCAAGCACTGCTCAATGCAAGTGGGCAAGATTGTGGCGGCCGACTCTAGTGGCTTATATCGTCACAACATGCGTGGTATTGAACTTCACTGCAAACCTTGAAATCCAAAACACGGCAAACATTGCAATACTCAATACGCAAGTAGGCAGTTTGGTACGCTGCACAGAAACATGCAAGCACCTGGGTGCGTACGATTGTGCCAGCGTCCGCTGCACTTGCCAGCTGGCAGTGCGCTTCGAGCTTGCTTCCTGCTCATGCCTCAGCCTTCTCAGTCTTCTCAGTCTTCTCTTCAGCAACATCGGCCTCACAAGGTGTCACATGAGGGCATGCATCGTACCTTGCTGAGCCTCGACACATGATGCCGCTGCATGCGCTGACATGTTCGGCTGCAATGGCAACAAGTCGTGTGAACTCCGCCCATGTCAGCGTCCTGGCCTCGTGGGTCACCTTGAAAACACCCGCAGCCGCAGCTGCGCCGATGACTTCCAAAGCAGAGTAGATCAGAGCCTCACCACGAAAAAGTAAATCAACTACAACTGCAATGTGATCCCAGCTTTCCCTGCCTGGTAGAATCGGCCGCCATTGAACAGGGCAGCAGTGGCGATGCCGCACCTGAGCTGTCTGTTGACGCTCTGTCCGCAACGCCGGTGCAAACCAGTTGCAAACTCCGACCGCTGCCGAGCTGCGACACGGCCGGGTTCAGGGATCCGCCCGAGATGCCGCCGATGGCGAAGCCGCCGACAGTCACGCAGGAGCCAATGGCAAGGCCAAAGAGGTGCGATGCCTTGGTGCGCTCAGACACCGCCACGCAAAGCACCACAAAGCACAGGACGAAGGTGTACACGATTTCCGCCACAGAGACACCGGCCCATGTGCTGAACCCGACTGGTCCCAAATCGAAGGTAGCTCCCTGGTAGATGAAGGCATAGGTGAGGGCCGCAGCAATGCCTCCTGCAATCTGTGCACCGGCATAGGTACCGGCCTTGGCTGGAGTGAGCTCCGGGCAGCGACCAGAGGCCAGGATAGCCACAGTCACTGCAGGGTTGAAATGAGCGCCGGAGACGTCTCCCAGCGCATAGATCATGGACGTGAGGCCAGCAGCAATGGAGAACGCAGCTGCCTTTGACTTGCCCAAAACGTTCAAGCCGACAGTCAGCACCAGCATGTAGGTTCCCAGGAACTCGCTCACCAACTCAGTCACCTGAGACTTCTCACCTCCAAAGTCCTCTGGCCGCACCACCTTGAAGAGTGCAGCAGCCATGGCAGCTCCCATCAGCTCAAAGATGATGTAGAGAATGCTCCAGCCGAAGCCAATCCCTGCGCTGGAGATGTCGATGCCCAAGGCCACAGCAGGGTTGAAGCAGCCGCCCGACACGGCGCCGGCACCGTAGGCACCCGCAACCACGGTGAACGCGATGGCCATGCCGTAGTACTGATTTTTCTCCGTAGCGTTCTTCTTGGCAGCAGCCACATTCATGACGACAAAGGTCAGCATGAAAGTGTACAGCAGCTCGCAAAGACCGGCGTGGTACCAGGAGAAGCCCTTGGATGGGGCCAGGTTGAAGCTTTGTCCGAAGAGCAGCGAGTAGCACACGGCTGCCGCCACGCCAGCGGCAGACTGCACTCCGCAGTAGATGCCCACCGTCTGCCAGCCCAGACCAGGTCCGCCCATGGCCCTTGACATACCAAGAGTCATGGAAACAGCAGGGTTGAAGTTGGCACCGGAGATGCCTCCCAAAGCATAGATGCACACCATCAGCACGAATGCGATGGAAATGCCCGCCCAAGTGGCACTTCCACCCAACACGTTGCATCCCACTGTGAAGATCAGGAGAAAAGTCCCCACAAACTCGGCAGTGCACTTGGCAGCCATAGTTGGTTCCGGAGCCATGGTTGGCCTTAGATGTTAGGATACGCTGGGATATGCTGAAGTCGCACGATTAGCCTAGCTCTGGGGTGGGTCGTCCAACATACTTCCCGGGCCTTCTACATTTTGCGGATTTTTCCACTCCCCCCCAAAACTGAAATCATTCCGCTCCCTCGCCTGTCTTGGGGATGAGGTGCTTGCGGAAGAAGGCTTGATTTTTCGTGGTTTCTGGGCAAGTCTTGCAAGCTGCGGCACCTCCCAACAGGTGCCAACCGTGCGCAGCGTGGGCTTTTTTTGCAAGAACACTTCACACAGCGCGCACACGCAAACTGCAACAAAGACAGATGTATGCGTACCCAAGCAGCGCGGAAGAGAAGGCTGGTACTTCAATGCAGGCAACGGCGCCCGGCGGGTCTGAGAAAAGCTGCGATGCGATCAAGCACTGCTCAATGCAAGTGCGCAAGATTGTGGCGGCCGACTCTAGTGGCTTATATCGTCACAACATGCGTGGTATTGAACTTCACTGCAAACCTTGAAATCCAAAACACGGCAAACATTGCAATACTCAATACGCAAGTAGGCTATTTGGTACGCTGCACAGAAACATGCAAGCACCTGGGTGCGTACGATTGCGCCAGCGTCCGCTGCACTTGCCAGCTGGCAGTGCGCTTCGAGCTTGCTTCCTGCTCATGCCTCAGCCTTCTCAGTCTTCTCAGTCTTCTCTTCAGCAACATCGGCCTCACAAGGTGTCACATGAGGGCATGCATCGTACCTTGCTGAGCCTCGACACATGATGCCGCTGCATGCGCTGACATGTTCGGCTGCAATGGCAACAAGTCGTGTGAACTCCGCCCATGTCAGCGTCCTGGCCTCGTGGGTCACCTTGAAAACACCCGCAGCCGCAGCTGCGCCGATGACTTCCAAAGCAGAGTAGATCAAAGCCTCACCACGAAAATAGCACAGCTGCCAGGTGAATAGTAAATCAACTACAACTGCAATGTGATCCCAGCTTTCCCTGCCTGGTAGAATCGGCCGCCATTGAACAGGGCAGCAGTGGCGATGCCGCACCTGAGCTGTCTGTTGACGCTCTGTCCGCAACGCCGGTGCAAACCAGTTGCAAACTCCGACCGCTGCCGAGCTGCGACACGGCCGGGTTCAGGGATCCGCCCGAGATGCCGCCGATGGCGAAGCCGCCGACAGTCACGCAGGAGCCAATGGCAAGGCCAAAGAGGTGCGATGCCTTGGTGCGCTCAGACACCGCCACGCAAAGCACCACAAAGCACAGGACGAAGGTGTACACGATTTCCGCCACAGAGACACCGGCCCATGTGCTGAACCCGACTGGTCCCAAATCGAAGGTAGCTCCCTGGTAGATGAAGGCATAGGTGAGGGCCGCAGCAATGCCTCCTGCAATCTGTGCACCGGCATAGGTACCGGCCTTGGCTGGAGTGAGCTCCGGGCAGCGACCAGAGGCCAGGATAGCCACAGTCACTGCAGGGTTGAAATGAGCGCCGGAGACGTCTCCCAGCGCATAGATCATGGACGTGAGGCCAGCAGCAATGGAGAACGCAGCTGCCTTTGACTTGCCCAAAACGTTCAAGCCGACAGTCAGCACCAGCATGTAGGTTCCCAGGAACTCGCTCACCAACTCAGTCACCTGAGACTTCTCACCTCCAAAGTCCTCTGGCCGCACCACCTTGAAGAGTGCAGCAGCCATGGCAGCTCCCATCAGCTCAAAGATGATGTAGAGAATGCTCCAGCCGAAGCCAATCCCTGCGCTGGAGATGTCGATGCCCAAGGCCACAGCAGGGTTGAAGCAGCCGCCCGACACGGCGCCGGCACCGTAGGCACCCGCAACCACGGTGAACGCGATGGCCATGCCGTAGTACTGATTTTTCTCCGTAGCGTTCTTCTTGGCAGCAGCCACATTCATGACGACAAAGGTCAGCATGAAAGTGTACAGCAGCTCGCAAAGACCGGCGTGGTACCAGGAGAAGCCCTTGGATGGGGCCAGGTTGAAGCTTTGTCCGAAGAGCAGCGAGTAGCACACGGCTGCCGCCACGCCAGCGGCAGACTGCACTCCGCAGTAGATGCCCACCGTCTGCCAGTCCAGACCAGGTCCGCCCATGGCCCTTGACATACCAAGAGTCATGGAAACAGCAGGGTTGAAGTTGGCACCGGAGATGCCTCCCAAAGCATAGATGCACACCATCAGCACGAATGCGATGGAAATGCCCGCCCAAGTGGCACTTCCACCCAACACGTTGCATCCCACTGTGAAGATCAGGAGAAAAGTCCCCACAAACTCGGCAGTGCACTTGGCAGCCATAGTTGGTTCCGGAGCCATGGTTGGCCTTAGATGTTAGGATACGCTGGGATATGCTGAAGTCGCACGATTAGCCTAGCTCTGGGGTGGGTCGTCCCATATACTTCCCGGGCCTTCTACATTTTGCGGATTTTTCCACTCCCCCCCAAAACTGAAATCATTCCGCTCCCTCGCCTGTCTTGGGGATGAGGTGCTTGCGGAAGAAGGCTTGATTTTTCGTGGTTTCTGGGCAAGTCTTGCAAGCTGCGGCACCTCCCAACAGGTGCCAACCGTGCGCAGCGTGGGCTTTTTGCAAGAACACTTCACACAGCGCGCACACGCAAACTGCAACAAAGACAGATGTATGCGTACCCAAGCAGCGCGGAAGAGACGCTGGTACTTCAATGCAGGCAACGGCGCCCGGCGGGTTTGAGCAAAGCTATGACGCCATGGGTTGGTTGAGAAACACGCACATCTGCTAAGTAACAAACCATATGCCTGAACAACGCTTTCAGGTCACCACCCCTGCTTTCATGTGCTTGGGGTGCCACAAAAGATACTATATCTATCGGTCATGACCGTTCCCTTCAAATCCAATACCTCAAGATACCTCAAGGAAGGAAAAGTCTCGAGCGCATCACCACGCACAATCTACTTTGGGATAGGGAGCAAAGGTAACACAGAGCACAGAATCCAGCCTTCGGCACGACATGAAACAGAGCTGCTGTGGGCTGCTGGGTATGAGGCTGTGGCTCAGGCAGCAACAGTAAGCGTCATGAATGTAGATGTAAGCATCGCGTCTGGCTGACTGATGTTGGAGAAATGCATCTCCTGACGTTCAAGTGTCACTTTTGTTGCTGGTGTTGCCGGCCCTTCTGCTGCAATCCTTCCGCAATCATTGAGATCACTCACCCGCTCGCTGGGCCAAACATTGCGAGGCTGCATGAAGCGCGGCCGCGCTTGAATCTGCTTTGCAGGGCAACCAGCGCTCAAGCAGGCGTCTTCGGCCTTTGACAAAGTCAAATGACTCCAAAGAAATGCAGAAACTTCTTTAAGGGGGGTCTGTTATATACTTCCCCTGACTGTTGCTCATGTGACTTACCCTGCATCAGTGTCTCTGTCTCTGTGTTTGCCTCTGTATCTGTCTGTAGTATACATCTACACAGGGCGACCCAACTCCGGTGAATGACCGCGACCGGAAGCAAAATGTGGGCCAGCGAGACCTGTGAAAGGGTCTCTTCAGAGAGGCCTGGCTTTGTGCTAAGGCACTTCCTCAGTGCGCACTTGACGGTGTTCTCAGGAGATGCTATGAGGAGATACGGATATGACGGATATGTGAGTTTGTCTCGAAATGTGGATGTCAGATTGGGTGGGTTCCCTTTGAATTGCTTTAGAAAGGGTATGCTCAAAACTCAAAACACGGCTTGGCATGTATCAACTACGCTGGAAGTCTCATTCCCTGCCGAAGACCAGCAAGCTAGCCGCACACAACTTGTGCATGGTGCATGCAATTGCCAAATCCCGTTTGCCTAAAGAAAAACCACACAAAAGGGCAAACATACCGACCCAAAAGTAAATTTAAGAACCTCTCCAAATATTCACCTTAAAGGACCCAGCCAAAGGGCAACCCGATGTGCTTGACCCATGGACGTGGGGAACTGAATCAAATGTAAACGTCGTTGAAATTGCCCGGGAACCCTGGTAGACAAAGAATTGGACCCCTTGTTTGGGTTTGAGTCCACCCACGAAACAAACAGGGCTTTCGAGGGGGCCATCTACACAAAATGGGTGGCATCCATTTTGTTTCCCCAAGCTCGTTCTTGACTTAAAGGGGTTAACTCCTTCGGGTTGACCATTTGCAGTCGAACCAGCCAAAAAAAAGCAGTGTTCGAGGGTGGGGAAACAAATGCCGCTGGAGCTCCAAGCAGTCATGGGGGGCTAGCACCCATTGACCCCTTAAGGCCTCGTTCAGGGCATATCCTTGGCATATCCAAGGATAAACCTCCTTCACAGTGAATGCCCTTAACATTGCAGCCTAGGAACAAGGAACTCCCTCATTTTAGAAATTTACAACTGTTTTGCGTGTGATTGGCTTACCCACAAATCTGTGGGCATTCGCAGCCCTAGGTCCGTCCGAGAAGCTGCAAGTTCCCCGGCAGGCGCTCTATGAGATGATCGCAGCCTGAAAAAGTGGTCGGTGGTTTTGGAATGCTCGGGAAACCCCTTAAAAAGGGGGTCGGTTTGAAGGGAAACCAAAAGGGAAACCACAATTTTGGAGATCCCCCTTCTTTGACACAAAACCAAAGGATCCCCCCAAAAAGGACATATGGGGTCTGTTTCAAAACAGGCAGCCCCTTCTTGAATGACACAAAAGAGAGACCTAGAGGAAAACAAACGGGTCCTTGATCTTGAGAAACATCCATATTAGGGGAAAGCACCAAAGAGGGTCTAGTGTACTAAGACTTAGTACTACTAAGTTCGTAAAGAAATCACATTGTAAGTCCAATTGGAATAAGGGGGTCAAATAAGAGGAACACCCAAAGGCACCCTCCCACCCACTATACGGAGGTGTTTGTCTCTTGGGGGTCCTGCAACTTCCCGCTTGTTGGCCGCGCTCACGAGAGGGGGGCGGTCGTCCGATGTAAGTGAGTGAGCAACTTACACCATGTTTCACAGGGTTTTGCGTTTGGCTGAGGTTGGTTCAGTTGAAATATTCAGGGCAACGATCAGATTGAAACACTTCACCGACTTCAAGGGTGGGCGAGTCAAGATACTGGTGAACCATGTTTAGCCCACTGTTGTTCGAACTAGTTCCTTGAGTGCCCGCTTAAAGGGGACCGGAGGTTGGTGGTTTAAACAAATAATCAATACTGTCCCCTAGCATGGAACGCACCAGAGGGCCTGTGCGCCCAAAAAGTGAAAAAACAAGAAACGCCCTTGCAAATTACAGCCCATGTAAATGTGAGTGTCTTATCATGGAAGTCATGTCCTTCCTTTTCTGTCCCCGGCTGACCCAACCAAGAGATGCAAATGAGTGGAGAAAGAGGAGAAGAGTTAGAGTGCTAGGACCTACTTCGCCATCTTGTCTCAGCTCATCTCTTTGAATGTCAAGTGGCTCCAGCAAACGGAAAAGATGGTGAAAGGAAATGCCAATCTCTTTTCTCCACTAACCACCTTCCCAAATGCAACAAACTGGTTGGAGGAAAGGTGTGGAGAGCTGGAGATGGAGTGAGAAGACAGCCACTTAATTCGTCTTCCCTTTGGCCCACTGCTGGTTGGACATCCAGATATTGAGAGAGTGGACATTTTATCAGATTGTGTAATCTAAGTGTGCATGTATCTATGACATAGTTCCAGTATATTTCAGTACGCTGATGTTGTATTTCATGTGTGGCCTAAAGCATTGCGAAGAAATGTCTGGGTTTGTGCTCATTTGGATGTCTCGTTCATAATTATGCTCATTTCAAATCACTTGGAGTAATGATACCAAAAGAGGACATTCTAGTAAATAAGAAATAGATGCAAAAAACCAAAATGCCAGGAACAAACATGTGCAAATAACTTTGCCTGCCTACGTCTGCGTATGTTTGTCTTTGCCTGCCTGACCTATTTACCCATTCATCGTGATGCCAGCCAACCGTGATAAGCTTGCCCGTGTTTGCCTGCGGCTGCGCGCAGGTCTTCCTATCTCTTGTCCCACATTGGTGTCTTCTGACGGTACCCTTGGAATTGCTTTATATACAGGAACACCAAGCATAACATGGAAAACACGCCTTTCCAGCGGTTCCCTCCCTCACAAACAAATGAAAAGCCCGTGGCTTCTGTGAGCCCAGCTTAAGACAGCAAGCTCCTCCCCCGTGGTCTGGGCCGCCAGCAAAGGCTTCCGGAGTGTCCATCCAGCACTAAGAACCTGAAATGGCAATAACGTGCACACGAGACACCTTTCGAAAGCATCCAACCAGAGGCCCCTTGACTTTCCACTTGCCATGTGTGGTCAAAGCTCCCAAGGGTCATGCTTCGCTGGGAATGTCTTGAACACTTATTGACGTCAATCTTGACCAAGCCTAAAACATTACACCATCAGCTGTGCTTTGTTGCAGCTGATGCGATTAGGCCCACCAAACATGCTTGGGAGTGTGCCGAGACAGGAACTTGTCTTTGATTCATGCATGTATATCGAACAGTAGGTCATACACGTATTGATTCACGCCACGCACATTGTTACATTACAGTATGTTGAACACATTTCTTTTCTTTCGTCAGATAGCCAAGTTGTTTTAAAAAAAAAACAAAAAAACTATGAAACACAAGGAACTGCGTTTGACGGTGAGGCCCAAGGCCCAGGCCCGGCAATCTTTGTGCCTTCCGGTGACTCCAGCTCCAAATCCAGCAGATACCTACGCCCCACTTTCGATGTTCTCGCCACGTTTGGTGGTTTCTGCGTGGAATTGACAAAATCAGCGCCAGTAGAAACCAAACTGAAACCTGAGAGGACACCAAATCGAAGATGAGTCTGAAAGAGACCCCTTCCCGTAGCGGCTTTCACGACATCATGTGGAGAGGGTGCAGGCCGCACAACTGAAACAAACCTCACACCCCCAACCTGAACCTTGCATCCGCACTCCCTTTTTGGCTCAGTCTGCGCCGGCAACCAAAACTCAAGCGCTTCCGATTCGCGAGCCACTCTTGAGCTTCGAGTGCGGGTCGGTGACCTGAGGCAGGTGCCAAAAAAAAGCGCGGCCCTGTAGTTTAACAGGAAACTCGAAAGGGACCCAACCACTTTCAGGGATCTGATAAGTTGCTATAGGTCACAAATCGGAAAGAAAGAGGATGCAAAACAGCCCGAGTTGGAACCTGTCCCCAAAACCAGTACACATAATGAGGTTCGTGGAAATCCTGGAAGAAAAAAGCCAGGGTGGCTACCCTCAAGATGGATACACGAGCAGTGGGGCTTTGCCCTGTGCTCGTTGCATCATGGGCTGATCGAAATGGTTCGTTTTAGCCAATCCGATTTTCCACATATTGGAAAGCCACCCAGAAAA